AATAAAAAGAAATAAAAAGAAATAAAAAGAAATAAAAAGAAATAAAAAGAAATAAAAAGAAATAAAAAGAAATAAAAGAAATATTAAAGTATCAATTAAAACAGAAGTATTAATATAATTTATAATTTCATGAATTTAAAGAAAAAATACCAAATCTTCAGCGATAGTAGACCATATTGTACGTCGATTTGTGTTGACCTTTTTGAAATACAAGCATGAAAAAATCAAAGATATATTCCAAAGAAATAGATAAAAATGTTAAAAGCATACTCACAGCAAAATGACCATGTACAGAGGCACTAAATGGTGTTAACATCGTCGGAATAGGGAGATAACAAAATAGTCTTCCAATTGTTTCAGGTTCATTAAGGGGGATAGCAATTCCAACATTTGGAATAAGCTTATAGTCAGTTATTTTCTTCTTGAAAGTTTCATTGAAATAAGCTGCAGTAGCATTTAAATTACCAAGCCAACCAAAAATAATCCAATGACTATCTTGTGGTTTTTCATTGCCTTTTTGTTGGCGAAAGGTCGCAACAAATACAGATTCCAAAGTAGGATCACCAAAAAGTCTATTCTCATTAAGCTCCATCATCAAGTATTAATTCTTCCGGTAATTAGATCACGTTTTTCACGTACTTTACGATCTCTATCGAATAGAGTAATTTTGGAACAGACTCATTTTCTTTTAGCTCAAGGAATTTAATGCTTTCAATAGAGTTTAAGAAAAGAAGACAATTTATGCTTTCATTATAAAACTTATCAAATATATCTAATATTTTATTTGGATTATATTCATTCGTTGAAATTTCCGAATCATTAGCATCCTGAGAGGTACGAAGAGGATAACGAAAAATAGTGCCATTAACTTTCTTATTATATGGAATGCCAAACGAATTAATGAATGGAGCAAATTGATCTGGATGATTAATAGCAATATTCTGATTTATGAAATTATATTTAACACCACCATCGAAATACCAACTATGTGGCTAAAATAAGATTTAAAAATTCATTGTAAGTTCGCCAGAATAATAATAATAATAATAAAAGGTTAAATAAAATTTGATACACACGTCAAGAATTACATATTGATCGCCAGTAATAAAAGTAGGAGAATCAGTAATATGGTAAATAGAATTAAAACCCACACCCATCACTATTAAAAGAAACCATCGTTATTATTATATCTGTACTACCATTACTGAGACATTAAAATTACTTACCTCCAATTGTATCGAATTGATTACGCTTTTCACTATTTGCCAAATTCAATAATGATCGAAAATCACGTTCGTCAAATATCGTATCATTTTTTGATAAAAGAGCAGGACCTTGATATCGATCTAATTTCAAGTCACTTTTATAATATCCATTCAACTGAGGATTAATTAATTTTTTAATTGGATAAGTATTATGATCATATTTAATGAGAAAGGTTGATATATTAATTATATAGTTAGTATTAAAAAAATATAATAAAAATAAAATAAAAATAAAATAAATAATGATTGATTGAATATACCAGTAAAAATGTTTGTGAGCGGCTTTTAGCGTCATCAGAATTTTGAAGAATTTCGCGAAGAATTTGAGATCCATCCGGATACTCTTCAAGAATTTTACTTAAACGATGTGTATAAGGTTCACGAGGCCTAAAGACAGACATTACTTTATCTACTATTCATTAATATAATTTAACTAAACAAGTACTAAGTAACCTTTATTTAAGTTAATATCTTAAAAAACTATAGTCAAATTTTGGTTTAATTTGTTTGGAAAAAAAATATGGTTTACAATAAAATATCTGGATTTTTTATGAATTAGTAAAAATATCGTTTTTATTTTTCGTTTTCAATTTTGTTCGGAGAGTAACGGAGGACTATTTTGGTCAAAAATAATATAATTTGGAAATTTTCTCTTTGTCCATATTGTTGATGTCGCAAAAAAGCATGCATGATGAACATCATGTGCTCATACCTAATACGTATTACCATTATCGTTATGCATTAACGTTAATTAGAAATTTTATTTTTATCTCTCATTTTCATTGTCAAACATCTGAACTTAGTATTTAAAATATTTCCTAATATAATCATATAAAAAAGAATTATTATTATTTTTTTTTGAATTCGCAGATTCGAAATTTAGAATCTTCTTAATCTGATCAATCATATATTAGTGTTCCCTTAAACATTTCTTTATAGAAGCCGTATCAAAAAATAAAAAAAAAATAGAACTTATAGATCGCTTATTTTAAAATAAGTACAGTGAAACCTTTTAAATAGGGGTCTCGAAGGCAAAATGCGGAAAGCTAATTTTAACTGAAATTGGTGACGTATTTATTATCAATGAGTGATGTATTAATTTTATTTCATTTTCGTTAAATGGGGATCTCCCAAACATTCCATTACATTTTCCGATTTTAAAAATTTTGAAATACAAATAAAATTTTTCAAACCGTCATTTAATTTCAAGATGCGCCTCTTATTTGTTAACTTTGAAACCCCCTCTATAAATTCTAAATGTATGCTTAACCTCTGGCCCAAATATAGCATATGAATGACCTCTATAAATGCACTTTTTCTTATTGCTCTCTAAATGCACGTTGTTAAAGTTCAGTTCCAAGTGCGTGCATTTATGGAGGTTTCACTGTACTACTACAGTACTAATTTTATTCGAAATCAGAAATTCCGAATCACCCTAATTTCCAACCATCCTAGCGTACCCCTAAAAAAAAGTTACGTAACTGAGCTTAAATTTTCTCCAAACAATTTCGTTTCATTGTATTTTCGTTTCATTGTATATTAGTATATTAGCAATTTATATTGAATTTACTTTCAAATATAAATTTCAAATAAAAAAGAAGTTTTTCTTCGAAAAAAAAATTTTCAAATTTTTTATATGATTCACTTGACAATGTGTAGTAACCAAAATAGCGCTAAAATGAAAAGCAAAAATATTCATTTTCATTAAAATTTGATTATTGATAAGAAAATTATCGTCATTATTGTAATTGTATATTTTAAATTAAAGCTCAGTTACGTAACTTTTTTTAGGGGAATACTAGGTTCATCCCTAAAATCCAATCTGACATTTAAATCGTCAGGCATGTGTAGGGATGGGGGCACAGGGCACGAGGCATGCCTGGAGGCATGCCCTCAGGCCAAAAGGCATACCTCTGTCATGTGCCAAATACAACACGTTGATTGGCTATCAGCTATACAACCAATAAGGGTGCACAAATTTTAGATC